GTTTTTTGTATTTGTTTTTTTTTTCAATTTCACGCTTCAGTTGATTATTTGACCACAATGCGGTGCAAAGTATCATTGCGGTCTGATTTGCCTCCAGATATATATTTTGTCTTTCATGTTTTGCGGTAAATATGCATGAAAACATATACACGTACATGTGGGTACATATACATATGGGTTTATGTCATCTGTTGCAATTGCAAAAATATCATCAACTCCATTTGCTGCAACAATTCCAGAATTTATTTGCATTGCTTTCTCGGTTCGAGTGCTTAATCTTAATAAGGAATTTTATGTTGTTTTTTTTTTTTTTTTGCTTTGAATGGTGTCACTGCCTGCCATCGAGCAATAATTCGCGTCATAAAAATGTCTCATAAATTTTTGTTTTTTTAATAAAAAAAATATTAAAATATTTATTTTAATCAACTTCCTTCTTTAAAAAGAAATGTGTTTGGACAATTTGTCAGTCACTCACTCCGGCATCGTCATCACCACTGCCATCTTTAATTAATCACAATTGTGTATTCGCCATCGAGAATGTCATTGAGATGGAGAGCATTTTAAGTTCATACCACAGTTGAAGATTTGTTATTATATGGCAAATTCTATGGTCCCAGCAGGAGGACCAACAATAAGCTTGGATTTTTTTAAAATGGTTTTCTAGGTCGAAGAATTTTTTTAAATATTTTTTGGTCTTTTAATATTATTTCTGGGCAAAATTTGATGTTTTTACAAGTCGGAATGGTGTTAATGGTGAAAAACCATGGTTATATGCTGTCAAGAGAAAACAAAACTCAAAGTATCAAAACTCAAAAATCAACAAAGTCTGAATTAAAAAAAAAATGTATAAATATTTTTCAAAATAATAATAAAAAAATACCTTTCCAGGAGATAAGTAAAGACCAATCACAAACGGAGCCCAAAGAACTACAGTCGGATTTTTAAAATAACACTTGTGGTTTAAACGGAGAAATCAAATCGATCATGTTGTGATAGACGGAAGGCATTCATCCAGTGTTTTAGACGTCCGATCGGTCCGGGGAGCGAATATCGATTCGGACCATTACCTTGTGGCAGCCAAGGTACGCACGAGTCTTAATGTAGCGGCAAAGGTGCGATCTAATGTAACACGGACATTTGACGTCGAAGAGCTGCAAACACAACAGATAGCAGAAGCCTACTCCGCTCAACTTACCCAACTGTTTGACGAAAGCACCCCTTGTCCCGATAATAATATAGAAACACAATGGCAGAGAATTGCCCACTCCCTACATACTGTAGCAAAAGCAACACTAGGGTACCAAAGACCACCATCAATAAATCCATGGTACGATCAGGAGTGTCGTAATGCTAGTGATATGAAAAACGCAGCGTATAGAGCAACCCTGCGGACAGTAGCAACACGTAATGCGATGGACAACTATCGGAAGAAAAGGAGAGAGGAGAAACGTATTTTCAAAAAAAAAAGAAATAACAAGAAATCGAGATGTACAAGAGTCAGAATAAAGTCCGAAAATTCTACCAACGGGTAAAACACCAAATCGAAGGTCTTGGTGCAGGCACATCCTCCTGTAGAGATGAAGAAGGAACCTGGTGACAGATACCGACAGCGTGCTGAAGATCTGGAAGGAGCATTTTGAAAAACTTCTGGTATCAAATAGTAGCGGTGAAGTGGATACCCCAGAACCAATAATATATGACGGTATAAAGTGTATACCACCTAGCCAAGATGAAGTCAGAATAGTAATCAATCGGCTGAAGAATAATAAAGCAGCAGTTGACGATGGGTTTCAAGCCGAACTATTCAAGACTGGTGGTCAAATGCTGATAAGGAGCATGTACCAGCTGATTAGTACAATTTGGCTAGAAGAATGCATGCCCAATGATTGGAACCTCAGCACCCTGTTTCCCGTACACAAAAAAGGAGACAAGACGACATGCGCCAAATATAGAAGAATAAGTCTCCTTCCCATCGCATATAAAGTGATATCCAGTGTGCTGTGTGAGCGACGGAAGTCAATGGTCAATGACATTATTTCAGCATACCAATGCGGCTTCAGTCTTGGCAAATCCACAATTAATCAGATTTTCACTCTGCGCCAGATCCTGGAAAAGATCCATGAAAAATTCATCGACACATTCCACCTATTCGTCGACTATAAAGCCGCATTCGACAGCCCTATCCGTTTAGAGGTATATAAAGCCATGTCTGCGTTTGGCATTCCTGCAAAATTAATACGGCTATGCAGGATAACTTTAAGTGGCACAAGGACAGCAGTTAAAATAGGAAAGGACCTATCGGAGCCCTTCAATACCGAACGAGGATTCAGACAAGGTGACAGTTTGTCGTGTGATCTTTTTAACATCCTACTGCAAAAGATCATACGAGACGCAAAGGTGAACAGAAATAGCACTCTGTACACCAAACAACACATGTTACTCGCCTACGCCGATGACATCGACATAATGGGTCGAACACTGAGAGCGGTAACAGCCACCTTTGAACAAATCGATAAGGAGTCTGCCAAAGTGGGTCTGGCAGTGAACGGTGAGAAGACCAAGTTGATGGTATCAACGCGCAAGACATCCAGTAGACTAGGACCAACTGTGGAACTTGAGAACTACAGCTTCGAGGTAGTCAAAGATTTTATACACCTTGGTACCGTCATAAACAAAACGAATGACATCAGTTTTGAAATTCGGAGAAGGATAGTGATGCTACTATGGTCTGAGCAAACAACTTAAAAGCAAGGCCACCTCCCGCCAGACCAAACTCACACTCTACAAGACGCTGATACTACCCGTGCTGTTATATGGATCTGAAGCATGGGTACTTGCGCAAACAGATGAGGCAGCTGTTGGAGTGTTTGAGAGAAAATTTCTCCGGAAGAACTATGAGCCGATCTGCGTTGACGGTTAATATCGCCATCGAATGAACCTTGAATTGCACCAGGTATTCTCGGACATCGACATAGTTAGACGTATTGAGCTGCAGCGACTACGTTGGCTAGGTCATGTTGTGAGAATGGATGAAGATGACCCAGCCCAGAAGGCATATAAAAGCGAACCAGCTAATGGTTCAAGCAGTAGGGGAAGGCCAAGAATAAGTTGGAAAGACCAATTGGAAGAAAACATTGCCGAATATGGTCTTTCAAATTGGAAAAAAAAACTGTGCAAAAGACCGACGCGCCTGGAAATCTTTTTTAAGCTCGACTTATGGAACGAAATTAAGTAAGCTTAAGCTAAGTAAGTAATAAAATAAACCAGTAAGGAAAGTAGTAAAGGGCCGACTATATGATACCCTTCACCACTTTGGGTATATTCTACATATGTATCCTAACAGACGACGCGTTTTTGTTATATATCTATATCTGTACCAATTTCAGGGAAACTTGCCAGAGACTAATTTATATTACTTCAATACGTTGTGTCAACCTAGGCTTAATTCAGTACCCTATACCAAAATGCACCAATTACATAAAATCGGACGAAAATATATATGGGAACTATATCTAAATCTGAACCGACTTTCATGAAACTTAGCAGACATTATTATAGACGCAATTCAGTACGCTATGTCAAATTTCGTGCAAATCGAAAGATATGTAGGGTCTTTGGTGCACCAATTACCTTAAATCGGAAAATATATATACATATGGAAGCTATATCTAAATCTGAACCGATTGTCGCGAAAATTTGCACACATCATTCTAGACTTAATTCAGTACGCTGTGCAAAAATTCGAGGAAATCAAAACATTTCCAGGGACTTTAGTGGACTATTTACCTAAAATCGGGCGAAACTATATATGAGAGCTATATCTAAATCTGAACCGATTTTCACGAAACTTTGCACACATCATTCTAGGCTTAATTCAGTACACTATACCAAATTTCGTGCAAATCGAATGATATATAGGGACTTTGATACACCGTTTACCTTAAATCGGTCGAAGATATATTTGGGAGCTATATCTAAATCTGAACCGATTTTCACGAAACTTTGCACACGTCATTCTAGACTTAATTTTGTACGCCATGCCAATTTTCGTGCAAATCGAAAAATATATAGGGACTTTGGTACACAATTTACCTTAAATCGGACGAAGATATATATGGGAGCTATATCTAAATCTGAACCTCTTTTCACGAAACTTGGCAGACATTATTCTAGACCTTATTTATTACGCTGTGCCAAATTTCGTGCAAATCGAATGATATATAGGGGCGTTGGTACACAATTTACCTTAAATCGGACGAAACTATATATGGGAGCTATATCTAAATCTGAACCGATTTTTCCCAATTTCTATAGGGTTCGTCCTTGGGCCAAACAAATGAGCTGTGCCAAATTTCATCCAATTCGGATCATAAATGCGACCTGTACTTTGTTTAATCGACTCAGAAAGTGATTCTATGCATATTCTCAAAAGGAACCATGGGTCTATCTCGATTATTTTTGCCTGTTACAAACATATGCACAAAGACATAATACCCTGTACCACAGTGTGGTGAAGGGTATAAAAATAAATTTGACACTTTATTCCGAATGACCTTTCACATTCTTTTATTTTTTTTTCTTCATTCAAAACGCCGCATATTATTCGCACATTATAAACAAAGAAATGTAGAGCAAATTCTATTTTCAAAGCCTAAATATTTGCGCTAAATATTGCTAAGCAATTATGAATTTCAATTTCATTCAAAAAAACTTTTTTTTCCGATTTTTGTTTGTAATGAATCATTATTTGTTTATCTTATGATTTGTTTATATATTTGTTTTATTTTTTCGTTCATATTATATATTTATTTTATTTGTTGTTTGTATTTTACCCTCATTGTTAATTTATTGTTGTTGTTGTTTTCTTTTGTTTACAATTTAATTAAAACAACATTAATCGGTTAATGTCTGCCTGACTGAATGTGCAAACTAGGGACAAAATACTGAGAGAGTGCGAGTCCAATGTGTGCCGGATTCGATTGCCTTATCTCTAACAATTATTTCCAAGGTTCTCTTTGTTCTTCTCGCCGTTTTAATTGCCATAGATTTGACGCAACAAAGCAATGTAAGAGTACGATTTACTCAATATTCCGGTAAAGCTGGGCAAAGAGAGTCCCATAAATCCACCAGCTGTGAACACAAATGGCCTCTGTGCATTGGTAAGGAATATTAAAAGAGATTTGCCATAGCGTCGATCAAATGAATACCAAGATGAATGAAAACCGCTCGTTCCGATTGTTTTACTCTGCAAATAGAGAGAAAGAAAATTATTTTGATTTGTTTACAAAAGAGAACAGTGTTTGGAATTATATACATATTTTGATTAATTGGAACAAAATGTTGTGTACAATGGAGAATAGCATTTAAAAATTAACTCTATGGGGATCAATGTCCGATTTAATGTAATCGTCCGATTTAATGTAAAAGTCCCTACATATCTTTCGACTTGCACAAAATTTGGCACAGCGTAATGAATTAGGTATAGAATGATATTTGTTAAGTTTCCTGAAATCGGATCAGATTTAGATATAGCTCCCATATACATTTTCGTGTACCAAAGGCCCTTAATATCTTTCGATTTGCACGAAATTTGGCACAGCGTAATGAATTAGGTCTGGAATGATGTGTGTTAAGTTTCCTGAAAATCGGTTCAGATTTGGATATAGCTCCCATATACATTTTCGTCCGATTTAAGGTAAATGGTTTACCAAAGTCCCTATATATCTTTCGATTTGCACGAAATTTTGCACATCATAATGAATTAGGTATAAAATGATATGTGTTAAGTTTCCTGAAAATCGGTTCAGATTTAGATATACCCAAAGTGGTAAATTGTATCATATAGTCGGCCCCGTCCGACTTTACTAAATTTTGATATGCAATGCGTATTTGGGTAACATTCATTGAAATACATGTATTTAACTTTTGAGGTGAATAAAATCGTACGCATACGCATGAATTTAGGTATGACCCCAATAATAAAAACCAGTGAGCGGAGCAGTATAGTCAGATGGGGCCGACCATATGATACCCCACACAACTTCCACGAAAATACTTTGTGTGGTTCTATATTCTGAGCATGGGTGGTTCTATATTCTGAGGTCAACAAATATTCCAGATTCCCTTCACCGAGAGATGTGTTGTGATGTTCGGATTTCAATTGTGGCATATAGATAGACTCGAAAAAAAAAACAAAACAAAATTAAATTTTTGGCCAATTCATCCCAAAATTATTATCTGATCATCACCTAAAATTATAGGCGTTGTCCTTGACCATAACTGAAACCCCATGAAGCATTTCAAAGTGATCTGCGCTTCCGCCCTCTAGTGTGGTAATGGTTTATTAAATAATATGTGAATTCGTAAGCACCTTTGAATATTTACGTGTAACTCCCACATCCGAGTACATAGGACAATATAATTGGTATCAATATAAAGGTCAACTACTCCTCTTGGATATACTATCAACTCTTCGGATGTATGTCCTTCAGGAGTAAACATATACGCCTTAGAATACAAATTTTGTAATTTTTCACACAAAAGTCGGGGTCCATTTGAACTGCTAAATATTGACCGATCTTTGTCAAAGCAGGCGTGCTTATTATTTGACCCGATTCCCTTCTCCATGTAAAATTTCGCGACGTTCGGACCATAATTGCGGCCTCTAGAGCGACCAGAAAAACCGACAAAAATTAAGTATTTGGTCTATTTCATCCCCTAAATATTAACCGATCTTTACCAAAAACAATAGGGGTCTTTATTGGGCAGCACTCATTCCATATGCAAAATTTCGTGAAGATTGGTCCATAACTGTGGCCTGTATCGTGTTTACAAATTATAATGGACAGACAAACGGACGGACTGACACACATGTCTAGATCGACTCAGCTAGTCGAGATATGACGATCGGTATACTTAAAGGTAGGTCTAGGACCAATATTTCACGGCGTTACAAACTTTTGGGTCTGCACAAAGCTATAATACTCTGACAACATAGTGATGTAGGGTATAATAATCCCGGTCAGATCGTTTTAGAAAAAAATTAAACAATCAAGGCCTAGTTAGAAACTCATAAAAATAAAAATTTAAGTCATATTGGTTCCACAAATATTACGACAAATTCAATTCTTAAATATTCACTTCTAGTTAGTAACTCAAACATATTTTTAAAAAAACCACGAGTAGTTAATAACTATTATTTTTTTCAATCTCCATCATTTATATATTTGATCAACTATTGTCTACACTTTCTTTTCACATTGACTGTATATTTAATAATTAATATTTAGTAATTCATTTACGTGTAACGTTTACGATTATTAAATTTAAAAGAGAGGGGGCTGAATACACTTTAATTCTCTTAAAAAAAATACTAAAATTTTCTTTTTCAAATTTCAGTCAGTTACTCCGATAACTGTTTTAGGATATCTAAAAACTACATCCTATTATGATTTTAGTCAGAATTGATCTGCTCTCTCTCTCACTCTCTATGCCGATCGCAATTTATCTGGAAGCTGGCAACAAGTCAAGTTCTATGTCTAGTCTAAGGTGTGAAGTTAACAGACATAATGCATGAAAACGACGATGATGACGACAAAACGACATTCAAAATTTGTAACACGTACGTCGGACACAATTTGAGGCGGGTCTCCCCCAACAAGACAGCAATGCAAAAATTTACCCAATAAAAAGGGTGAAGTAGACAATTTTAAACGTTGCTGTCTGTCTGTCTATATTTCTGCCTTTTTTTTGGCCTCCCGTTGACGTTGATCATTTTGACATTTGTCGTTGATTTATGAAGTCATTTAAGGCCGTTCAAAGAAGTTGGCAGTTTAGCAGATTAGAGTTGGCGGGTGGGGATACCCAGAGGTTGTTATATTTATAAAAATACTGCACGCCTATTTTTTTTATTTGAAGTTTCAGATTTTTTGCTTGTCTTTCTTTTTGTTGAGGGTGTGTTCTCTGTAAAGAATAAAGTGTGTGAAGATGAAGGAAAACTTTTGAGTAGAAGAAAATGAATAATTACACCATCCTAGGGTAAAGCAAAATCATAAAGTGGAATTGAAGTGATTTTTTATTTTATTTATTTATTTTTTTTTTTTTTTGATTGTGTTAAATCTTTGTTATGGACCCAAAAAGCATACTTCGAAATATTCGTCGGTATTTATATTCGATGTTTAACTCACATGGATTTTTGAATTTGTGGAAATTCTCATACCTTATTTTGATATATATATATATATATATATATATATATATATATATCGTAGCAAGTTTTAAAATAGTTCTCATATACCACACGGTACCACACCTTGTTCGATAAACCTCTGAAATGAATTTTCAGTCCGAATAGCGGGGCAAATTCCTCGTACAGATTGAAATTTTAGGTTATCAGAGGATCTACAGCAGAGATGGTCCGTCAGAAATAGTGACGTAAATGACATACATTTCCGACGTATAATACATACGTCAGAAACGTCGGAAACCCACCTAAAACCATTAGTTTTTTGACAAAATAGCGATTTCCTTTAATCAATTTGGAAATTACGTATGCTTTACTCAAATCCATATCGAATTTCAAAATTTTCTTCTCCAAAAAGTTCAGAATTTTTTATCAGTGCTAGTAAGGAATAGTCAGATATATGTAAAAATAATATATATTCTTGAAAATAACAGTATATGGTAATAATATTGAAATAAATGACGTTTACTACATTTATTACATTTTATACAGGTATATGACGTTTTAGACGTTTACACCTTTTTGACAGTCGAAAACCTAAAAATTCGTCGCAGGGACCATCCCTGATCTACAGTCGCATCCAAGTAAATTGCTTCACCCAATTTTACGTATTTAAAAGTACACAGTCGCATTTTCAAACCGATGCCGAGTTCCCAATGGGTATTTTACTAAAGTGACTGTTCGAAAACAATTTCGGTGTTCTTTTGAACGATACAAAATCTACCTAAAAATTTATAATTTTTGGGTCAAGTTTCCGGGTATTCGGAATTGTTTTGGGCAAGTCTTCCAATGAAAATCCTTCCTATCAGAACTTGTCAATATCGGTCAATGATCAGGTATAGTCTCCATTTATTTATACTACAGACATTTTTCAAATATGTTCAGTTCTCATTGGGTAAAAAATCTTCGTACCAAAACTGAAAAATATTGGTCGATTTTTGGGTATAGCACCAGGTACTTTATAGGAATTTGATGGCCCGAAGAGGATTTTTAAACAGAAGAAAGTGGATAAGCCGCATTTTAGCATAATATTTCCAATATAAGGCCACATGCATTTTTCCTATTTTGAATTTCTGCAGTTTGATATTTCGTTTTCTCCTGTCAAATTTTTACCATAACACATAAAAATTCGATATATTGAATGTCCTCCTAATGGTGGGGGGTATAAAAAGATCGTCTCGACCTAACTTTACTGCAGTTTATCAGATGCAGCATAAAACCACAATTCGTTATTCCTCCTACCGACTGCACCCCATGGTAATACCACCGCTGCATTCTGTTCTATTTTGTTTCATTCTCCATAATTCTCATACAAAGTCGAATTAAGTGTCAATTTTCGTCATTTGACTTCTAGGGTTTCACAATACCAGCCATATACAGAGTGAGATGAAAAAACTGCAACCAACTTCAGACTGCTGTCATTTCTAAGCCACTCGTCCGACAGCTTTTAAAATTATTCCACTGACAGCTCATTATATTGCTTACAAACGTAGCATTTTGGTGAGAATCAAAAGAGCTAAAGAGTTGATTCGCTTGGCCGAAGGTGTTGAACTGCCGAATTTGGTTTTCTCCGATGAGAAAACATTCTTTGCCCAGCAGTTTGTAAACAAACAAAATGATCGTGTTTACTTGCCAAAGAGGTCAGTTGAAAATGTGCACCTTCGGTTGGCCACCAGAACTCAAGCGCCGGCCATGATGATGGTGTGGGCCGCCATAACAACCGATGGTCGCTTTCCGCTCGTATTAATGGACCGTGGCATCAGAATGAATGCCGAATATTATCGCGAAAATATTCTGGAGGGTGTATTAAAGCCTTGGGCACGCAAACATTTTGGCCGCAAATCTTGGACATTCCAACAGGACTCGCACGCGGCACCCAAGAATGGTTACAAAATGAGGTTCCTCGCTTCATTTCCAGGGCACAATGGCCACCAGAAACTTCGGATACCAATCCGTTGGACTATTGTGTCTGGAGTATTTCTGAAAGCAGGTTGGCACTAAAA